CAATCAAGGGTAAATTACACCGACACTCCCTGAAGTTAGGTTATATTTCACCTACATGAAAATTTTGGTTTTAACTTTCACTTATACCCCAAATTGCTCTTTGAACTCTGACACATGTGAATTGACCTATTTACCCTTACTTTTTTCAATACAATTTAATACAAAATGTAATACCCCTAATTCTAAAAGGATAGTCTCGGTATTTAATTAATTGTTTAATTGCATTTTTATTTAATTATGTGATTCTTTGGCTAATTGGTTACTTGTGAAATTGATTTAATTGTCTAATTGTTTATTTGTTATTTTATTTGAATAATTGGGTTAATTAAATAATGTGATTAGATGATATGTGCTAAGTGTTTAGTTGTAATTAATTGTTTAAATTAAATGTTTATTCTGTTTATTTTTATTGTAAAGAAGTTGGGCTTAGATAATAGTAATGGACTAACCGTTTGGGTCTCATGGATTACTTGGATAGGAGATTAATTAATGGGTACATCTATTACCCATGAAAAGTTATACATATATATATGGATATATATATGTATATAAAGTTACTTTAATTATTAATTATTATTAATGGTTAAATTAGTAGTAATTTTCAGTATATATGTATTATATAGTTTTAAGGTTTGATATATATATACGATATCACGTTATAGGTTAGCAGACTTATATATATATATTTATTTATTTTATATTATATTATATCTTTCTTTTCCTTCTCCTTATGTAATTAGAATTAGGTTAAACTATAACAGCCTATATATACGTGTGTATATTTTGCCAAAGGTTTAGATATTCACGTAACAGTGGAGGCAGGAAAATACAGAGAGTTTTTGAGAGAAACTAAGAGAAGGAGAATTAGGGTTTTGGCAATAAGGGCTGAACCAACTCGTGGGTTGAACTAGGAGCAACAGAGAGTTTTGACGGCAGACTGAAGTCGCCGAAAAGTCTAGGAAGAAGAGGTTAAGGTTTCAATCCGAAACCTAGAGGCAAACTCTTCTTCTATCTCCTTCCCTTAGATTTCGTGTTTCTATACAGGAACTAATCAGACTTTAAATTGATCTATTATGCATGCTAATTCTGGTTTAAAATAATGTTAGATGAATTTATTTGTAATTGATTTATCTTGCAATTTATGCCATGTGTATTTGTTTTAATGGATATTAATGATGCATAATTGATTTATATAAATTACAGGAATGATATGGGATATGGGACTTAGTTCAGACTCTTAGGACCATCAACAATGGAGAACAGAGGGATTGGAACTAGTCAGAGACAAGTAACTTAGCCTTAGCGATATCAAGTTCTTACTTTCCAAAAGAAAGTAAATGATTCAATCCTTTATGCAGATATGTGTGTGTGAATATAGACTATAAATGCTATTTTTTTTATTTTTATTTTATAATATTATCAATTAAATTTTTTTACATTAAACTTATAAAAACTAAATCAAACTTATTGTAAATAAATTTAATAATTCATTCACTATTAATATAATAAAATTATTATAATTTAATATCTCAAAAAATTAAATTTTCAGAAAAGAAGATTGGGACGGATGACTATTATTTTTTAAACCCCAGGTCCCCCCAACTCAACGAAACTGGGGCTTCTTGGGCTACGGCGCTGCTATGGCATTGTCCGAATTATGTTGTGACGTGTAGTGATGACACGTGGCGTCTAAATGTTGTGGGCCCTATGAAAGAACCATCACGGTTGAAAAGCAAGAAACAAAGTCGGTTGAGCCCGGTTTGGTTGAACGAGTCAAGTGGGGTCACACCATATTGTGGGAAACAAATGGTAAGAGTCAGACATTCAAGTACTTGCAGCGGTTCATGTCCTACTAAAGTCAAAATTCTCTGCTCCTACTTAATTTAATGCAATGAATTGTCTAAACTATTCAAACAGTAGTGAGAGGAACTTATACGCCATAATTCTCTGCCCCTACTTAATTTAATGCAATGAATTGTCTAAACTATTCAACTTTCAAACAGTAGGGAGAGGAATTTATACGCCATTTTGGTTGCATGAATATATTCCTTCCGTTTCATAATTATTTATTTTTTTAAAATTATTTTAAAATAATTATTTGATTATTAAATTTAAAATAAAATATTTAATATTTTTTCATAAAATATCTTTAAAATTTTAAAAAATTTCAAATTTGATTATATATATATTTAAACTTAAAAAAGTAACTTTGTAATTTTTAAAAAGAATAATGCAATAATTACATGTTTTTTTAAAAAGTTTTATTTTTCTTAAAAAAACATTTATTTTGAGACAGAAGGAGTATCAAATATTTCAAATCCTGGCTTAATATGAAGTGGAGAGCTCCACTCCCAACATCCAAGCCTAGCTATATTTTCACTTTCTCTGTACTTTTGATTGTATCCCAAATACTTTTAAGTTTACTTTATTTTATGACTCTAATCGCAATCTTTTTAAAAATAAAGGTATAAATAACTCTGTGGTAAAAAGAAAAAAATGAATTGACAGTCGGACTTAAAACTTTTTTATTATTTTTATTTATTATATTTTGATTTAATAATGACATAGCTCAAAAAAAATAATAGCAAAAACTATCACGGTGGTGGCCCTCTTTGATATCATTGCTCAAAAATAAATGGCATATACAATTTTCAAGAAACACTTGCACCTAAAAATTTCTTTTTATCATATTTTATAGAAGAAATTGTATTTCTTCTTATTTTTAAAACTTATTCTAACTCTTCTGATTATCAAACATATATATGTTTTAGTGGCCCAGATCACACGTGTTGACTAGGCGTCCCTGGTCTCAACTAAAAATGATTTCTTTGGAAAACATATATTTTTTTCAGATAAAATATTTTTTATTTTTTATTTTTATTTTTATTTTTTAAATTTGACAAAAATTTGAATTGAGTTAAGTCAAATTCATAGGATGAGACATGTAAAATAATTTGTCTAAAATTAATGAATAAATTATTTTTGTTAAATTTTAATATTTTTTTTATTCATAAATATTTTACGAAAATCAAATACCAAAAAAATGTTACTTAGGTTCTCGTCCTCCTCCTTATTTATTTTTTACTCTCCTTGTCCTATCCCGCACAGAAAAGATAAGAGTGATTCATTGAGATAAGAGTGATTCATTGTTTATTTAAATTTTTTTTTTTTACCCCTGTGATTTTAAATTTATTACTCTGTATTATTAATATTATTATTATTATTATTATTATTATTATTTCATAATACTGATTTGTCCTTTTATAATTCTCAACACCAAAACCAAAACCAATTCAGAGGTTTGAAATTTTATGGACCTCCACATAGCTAGTTTTCAAAGTATACTCAAATTATAGAATCCAAAGGTTAATGTTTATATTGTGTTTTCCTTTCTATTTTTATATCCTATTTATATTTTGTAAAAGGGAATTTATAAATTAAAGATCTCATCTTGTAAATAACACTAGACACAATTAAATCTGTTAAGATCTGCCAAAAACTTATTGGAATAAATTAATTTCGCCCCGCCAAAACCGCCCCTTGTATATATATAAACTTCCCAAATACATCATTACCCTCAATTGCACAACCAAGATCCTCATTGGCACGGCCGTCCCAAGTGAATCAGTAAGTTTTTTTCTCTCTCACTAAAATTATTGAGATATATAGGGCAATATATACACACACACATATACACAGACCTGCGAACCCTAAGAATTCCGCCGGTGATAATGGTTAACAAATCCGCTGCCTATGCACTTTATGAGCTCACATATATACGAGTATGTCCAAATTATGTTGATCATTAATTTTTGTGCTACTCATTTAATAGTGATTTTGGGTGTTTTATTTCGTATTTTAATTTCTTAAAAGCTTGCACATTCAAATCTCGTTTTCTTTGCTTCTGTTTTAAATTTAAAAAATGTAAGAGAAAGTGCATCCAAATGGGACCTCGTTGATACATTTTTTCCATGTGCTTGATTGCTTTTATTATTTACATGGTCATCGAGGAGTAATGGAATTCTTATTGAAAAGATTAGAAGTAATTAAGCAAAATTTGAAGTAATGATTTTCATTGCTTAAAGAAGTATTATAAATGCTACATCGCAATACTGATTTTGACAAATATATGTTTGTATTGGGTGCATTTAATTTTTTCTGTTGTTTTAGATTATTATTTTTTCTGTTGCTCACCTGTTCAGTTTGTTATTGTTTCTAAGATATTTCTTATAAACCCCAGGAGTATTATGTTAAGACACACAAATGTGAGCCAGGTGATGGTGCATATGTTGTGAAAATATGAGGCAAGTAACTCTTGTTCTTTTATTTGTATCTTCAGCCACCTCTTCATATGTAAATTTCGAACTTAAGATCACGTTACTTGTTAAGTGTTAATGTTGTTATACATATTGTTTGGTTTCGATGTAATTGTGCCATTTTAAGGTTAGGATTTGTGTCTACAGTTCACTTGCATTTTTTTTTAATAGTTCAACATGACATTTAAGATGATATTTGAGATCACTTTATTCTTGTTATGTTCAATTTGTGATATGCAGTTCCTGTATTTTTTAGTTCACCTCAATGATAGAAATTTTAATTGGCCAATTTGACTTTTTATTCAAAATGTACATTGATTATCATTATTATCTTCACCATGTTCATAAGGATAAGTACAAACATGGTCGAACCAAGAGTTCTAGTTTCGTGCAGCAAGTTTGCTTGCAGAAAGGGGACAATGACAATGGTCCCTGTACGCAAAAAAGAAAGAGAATCCAATATTATCAGACATAGTGATAAAAGCCCAGACATTTTTTCCCCCTGAAGGGATGACTTGATAAAAACAACAAATAAATTACAGCACAAGAAGGAGGCATACCCCGTAAATTAAAAAACTGGAATGGAAAAAGCCCATTTCCAGTTAACCCGAAACCTAATAACAAGAACACTAGCAGCCAACATCAAGAGTGAAAAATAGCAAGCAAAAGTCCGCTAAATTAAAATTAAATGATGAAGAACATCCCAAACAATGGCATTGGCAGTGGAAGAAGGCTGAGCTGATGTCCCATAATGCAGAGCTGCATTTCAACCACGACAAACATTACAAGTACAAGCATGGAATATTGGAACCTCTTGGTGTTTTGCATGATTGCATCAGCCATACAAGTGACTTGCCTGTGCATAATCCAGGTTTGATAAAATAGAGTTGGATGCTGTTTCCTGTTGCTTATTTTTCTCAGAGATCTGAACATGAAAGCCATTTGGAAATTGTAAACCGGGAGTCCGGACAATGTCTCCTCCCCTAATTGCTTGCCACCTGACAATTTCAGATGTAAAATTGGTTAGCATCTCTCTCTCTCATACAAAGTTGCTTATACAATATATGAATAGATGACGCTCTTACCTGTACTTTGTAACCAAACAGTGGAGAAATACAGCCATTCGCACCTTAGCAAAATCTGCTCCCACACAAAATCTCATCCCCCCTCCAAAAGCCATGAATTGTTTAGATACAATATTCAGTTCCATTTCCCGTGTGCCATCATTTTTCATACTACGTGAGAATTTAAAAGAAAGAACAATAGATTTAAGCATGGTCGAAGATAAGTTTCTTATTAGCAGTGAACTACTTGCAATAATTAAGATTAATTAAAGAGTAGGTAAATTTGCCGTACTCTACTCACTTTCCATCTCCATGGATTGAAGTCAAGGGGATCCTTGTATTTGTCAGGGTTTAAGGGTACAGCTGGAGGACAGACCATAACCGCCCAATCAGCTGGAATGGTATAGCCTGCACCAATCCGAAGTTCATATTAAGGTATGTTAAAGTAATTGCGATTTGCTAATTTATAAAATTCAATGTTATCATTTTTAGATATAGACTTATCAATTGGAAATACACACCCTTAAACTTTATTTCTTTTAGCAATTTTCTGAAAATCAATGGAGCGATATTGGCCAGCCTGATTGTTTCATTGATAAACTGCAATTTTAATGACAGTTAGCATTAGAAAAATACCCATAGAATTAATTCTTTTATAGCTTTGAAGAGAAAAAAGAGACTTCTTGACGCACCTGAAATTTAAATGTCATTGATTTGTATTCTTCCCATGTAAGTCCAGAGTCCGGATTTTCCCGTCTTCTTAGAATTGCCTCGTGTTCTTCCTGCAGAGAACATTTTGAGCATGTGAAATGGAGTAATACGATAGAATTTGAAGACATAATGGAGACATAATCATAGTGTAAGAGGCATTAATTTTACTGACTGTTCAATAAAAAAGAGACTTCTTGACCCACCTGAAATGTAAATGTCATTGATTTGTATTCTTCCCATGTAAGTCCAGAGTCCGGATTTTCCCGTCTTCTTAGAATTGCCTCGTGTTCTTCCTGCAGAAACATTTTGAGCATGTGAAATGGAGTAATACGATAGAATTTGAAGACATAATAAAAATAATCATAGTGTAAGAGGCATTAATTTTACTGACTGCTACTTCCTTCAACACCAAAGGATGGTCCAAAAGAAATTTGGTGGCTAAAGTTAGAGCTAGGGAAGTTGTCTCAAAGCTCACAAATAGTAGCACAAACATTAAATCCAGAGCAATTGCTTCTGTAAGGATTGTATTATCTTTCACAAGCTCTACAAGGACATAATCAAACAAATCACTTTGTTGCTTCCTAGGATTTGCTCGTCTCTCCTCAAGCATGTTCTTCAGCATCCTCATTGCCTTCTTCCTTCCCTGAAGAAACTCAGAAGATTCAAAACTAATGGCGGACCAGGTTTTCTTGGAAACGAATGGTGAAAATAATTTACCCCATTAACCGGTTTTTGACTAAGACTTGTCGTTACCATATCTTCTAGTTTACCAAACAATTTCAATCTACCAATCTATGCTTGGAAAAATTCAGTCACTCAGTCATATTTTCAGCTTTTCCAGATGCATAATAATTTAAAGTAGAATGAATTAATGTGATTAAATGATCAAGATTAGTGTGGAAGATTTTGATATACCTGTAGACATTTGTGGTAAGCAGTTCCAGGAATATTTAAAGGGAAGGAGATTAATCCCTGCATGAAAGCAACAAAGTTCTTCCACAGAATTTCTGATGACTTCTCTGAATCATAACTGATGAGTTTCTTTGCAGTCAGATCCAATATCATCTGTAAACACAGAATTGTTAGTGGACTTGTAATGACAAAGGGTTGGTGAATTTCTAATTCGAAGAGAAGATATCAGATTGCATAAGCTTACACTTGCAGTTGCATCCTTCAATTCAACTGTGTGCTGACTCGACCACGTCCTTAAGTTTCTACATACTGTCTGTTCAACTTCAGGAATCATCTTTTTCAGTCTTTCTTGACCAAATAGATTCAGCACCATGCTCTTGAGGTATTTAAACATAAACCCATGCAAGGAACTCACACTTTGTCGTCCCAAGATCTCCATGAAGGTATCTGGATACCAGCTCTGGAACAGTTGTCCCTCTTTTTGAAAAATGAAGTTATTAAGATCCGAGTCTGTGGATACAATTACTGGTTGTCCGACCAAACTGGTTCGGAATATTGGCCCATATCTGAAAAATAATAGCCAAAAATTACGTTATAAGAAGGATGGGAATGCTGATAAAGATTGCGCTACTCTGTTAACATGTTTGTCTGTTGGTTATAATGAATCTATATAGCTTAGCAGTTACAGTATATGGGGAAGTATTGACTTCTATGTCTTTGCCTATGAACAGATTCCCTATTTATATATCTATATTTTTTTTGATGTGGAACCTCACAACCACCAGCCTTTTGAACTTGTGGCTTTTAGGTAAATCCCGAATATATGCAACCGCCAGCAAGCCACACTTATCGGTTTAGTCCGGATTCTCTAACACTCTTGTCTATTTGTAAACTCTGCAAGTCTCTCTCTTAGCGTGTTTGTAATATTATCTCCTCTATAAAAGTTCTACATATATATATAAATTACCTTTCCATCCTCTTTTTAATGAAGGGAGGAATATCTGAGGAAGTGTTGGGTGCAAAGAACTGAAGAGTCTCGCCGAGGAGAGGCAAGCCCATTGAACCTGGAGGGAGTTTTCCATTGCATAACGGATTCCTCCAGCGGTAAACCCATTGTGTAATGCTTATAATAACCAGAGCTCCTATGCACAAAGCAATTGGTCCCATCTTGAATTCAGAAAATTTATAAGAAGGCAAGAGAATTGTGAAAATTTTAGAATTCTGTACTTGCTTTCTTGTACAAGAAAGTATGTGTTGAGATTAAAGATAAATTAACGTGAATGTAACCTATTTTAAATATGCGAAGGACATAAAGAAGAAACCAAGAGAGAATAAACTGATTGTTGAATAAATATAGAATTAGATTCCCAAGAGAGACATCAACTATATTCACTTTCTTCCAAAGCAACAAACTCACTCCATCAAACGGTGTGTTATTGTTCGCATTTTATCTGAGCCAGCACGATTTTTTTCTTCTTCAGTTTTATTCTAAAAGACTTCATACAATTTGGAGATAGTACCAGTACATATAACCACTTCACCTTTACCTCGAGTTATAGATTGTACAATCGCACATCATTAGAGAAAAAAAAACCACGCCGGTCGGGCTCAAAGCGGACAATATTATACTATGTGATGGATTGAGTTGTTACAAAATTGTAGTGACCTAGCAAAGAGACACTGAGCGAGTTACAAGTTGCACAATCCCAAGTCGTCTAGATTAGGTGAAGATGAAGATGAATTGCTTATATATAACGGTGCTATCTCCAAATGATATGAGATCTTTTGGAGTAGAACTCAAGAATAAAACTGCATTTCACCCCAGTGGACAGTGCAAATGCTAGTTTGTTGACTGAATTTTGGAGGGTTTTCTTCTTCTAACGGTGCAAAGCCCAAACAATCAAGTGATCTCACGAAACATGGATAGTATGGAAATTACATTTTGTCACCATATTATGTAAGACACACAAATGTGAGCTAGATGCTGGTGCAGATGTTGTTAATATATGCGAGAGGCAAGTAACTCTTGTCCTTTTATTCGTACCTTCAACCACCTCTTCATATGTAAATTATGAATTTGAGATCACTTTATTCTTGTTATGTTCAATTTGTGATATGTAGTTCATGTCTTCTTTTAGTTCACCTCAATGATGAAATTTTAAATGGCTAGTTTGATTTTTTATTGAGAATGTATACTGATTATCATTATTATCTTCACCATGTTCACAAGGACATGTAAAAGTATGGTCGGCCCAAGAGTTCAAGTATCGTGCAGCAAGTTTACTTGCAGAAAGGGGACAATGACAATGGTTATTGTCGACGCGAAAAAACAAAGAGAATCCATAATCCTTAGACATAGTGATCAAAACCTGAACGAGTTTTTTGTCTTGTTGAATGGGATGATGTTATAAAACAAGAAATCAATTACAGCACAAGGAGGAGGCATACCCCCTAAATTACAAAACTGGAATGGAAAAAGCCTATTTCCAGTAATACCCAAAACCTAATAACAAGACCACTAGCAGCAAGAATGAAAAATAGTAAGCAAAAGTCTGCTAAATTAAAATTAAAATTATGATTATGAAGAACATCCCAAACAGTGGCGTTGGCAATGGAAGAAAGCTGAGCTGATGTCCCGTGGTCGTGTTACAAGTACAAGCATGGAATGTTGGAACCTCTTGGTGTTTTGCATCAGCCATACAAGTGAGTTGCCTGTGCATAATCCGGGTTTGGTAAAATAGAGTTGGATTTTGTTTCCTGTTGCTTATTCTTCTCAGAGATCTGAATATGAAAGCCATTTGGAAATTGTAAACCCGGAGTCCGGACAATGTCTCCTCCTCTGATTGCTTGCCACCTGACCATTTCAGATGTAAAATAGGTTAGCTTCTCCTTCTCTCTCATACAAAGTTGCTTATACAATCAATATATGAATAGATATTGATGCACTTACCTGTATTTTGTAACCAAGTGGTGGAGAAATACAGCCATTTGCACCTTAGAGAAATCTGCTCCCACACAAAATCTCATGCCCCCTCCAAAGGCCATGAATTGTTTAGATGCAACATTCAGTTCCATTCCCTGTGTGCAAGCCATCATTTATTATACAATATGAGAATTTAAAAGAACGAACAATAGATTTAAGCATGGCCCAAAATAAGTTTTTTATTAGCAGCTTAAGATTAATTAAAGAGCGAGTCATTTTGCAATACTCTACTTAATTACCTTCCATCTCCATGGATTGAAGTTAAGGGGATCCTTATATTTGTCAGGGTTTAAGTGTACAGCCGGAGGACAAACCATAATCGCCCAATCAGCTGGAATGGTATAGCCTGCACCAATCCGAATTTCATATTAAGGTATGTTAAAGTAATTGTGATTAATTGTCTATTTTTTTTTTGATAAGAAATTGGCTTATCAATTGTGAATACATACCCTTAAACTTGATTTCTCTTAGTGCTTTTCTGAAAATCCCTGGAGCTATATTGGCCAGCCTAATTGTTTCATTAATAAACTGCACTTTTAATGACAGTTAGAATTAGAAAAATATCCATAGAATTAATTCTTTTATAGCTTTCAGCCTTTCAAGAGTTTAAAAAAGACTTCTTGTCGACCCACCTGAAATGTAAACGTCATTGATTTGTATTCTTCCCATGTAAGTCCAGAGCCTACATTTTCTCGTCTTCTTAGAATTGCCTCATGTTCCTCCTGCAGGTAACATTTTGAGCATGTCAGTTTTAGTAATAAGATAGGATGTGAACGACATAATTAATAAAAGTTGTCATAGTGTAAGCGGCGTTAATTTTACTGACTGTTAATTCCTTCAACACCAAAGGATGGTCCGAAAGAAATTTGGTGGCTAAAGTTAGAGCAAGGGAAGTTGTCTCAAAGCTGGCAAACAGTAGCACAAACATTAAATCCAGAGCTATTGCTTCTGTAAGGATTGTATTCTCTTTCACAAGCTCTTCAAGGACATAGTCAAAGAAATCAACTTGGTGCTTCCTAGGATTTGCTCGTCTCTCCTCAAGCATGTCCTTCAGCATCCTCATTGCCTTCTTCCTTCCCTGAAGAAACTCATAAGATTAAAAACCAATGGTGGACCAGGTTTTCCAGATGCATAATAATTTAAAATAGAATGATTTAGTGTGTGAGGTTTTGATATACCTGTAGACATTTGTGGTAAGAAGTTCCAGGAATATTTAAAGGGAAGGAGATTAATCCCTGTATGAAAGCAACGAAGTTATTCAGCAGATTTTCTGATGTGTACTTCTCTGGATCGTAACTGATCAGTTTGTTTGCAGTCAGATCAAATATCATCTGTAAACACACAATTATTAGCAGACTCGTCGTAATGATGAAATGTTGGTGAATTTCTAATCTGAATAGAAGACATGGATCAGATAGCGTAGGCTTACACTCGCAGTTCCATCCTTTAATTCAACAGTGTGCTGACTCGACCACCTCTTTAAGTTTGTACACACGGCCAGTTCAATTTCAGGAATCATTTTTTTCAGGCTTTCATGACCAAATAGATTCAGCACCATGCTCTTGACGTATTTATACATAAACCCATGCAAGGTACTTGCATTCTGTCGTCCAAAGATCTCCGTGAAGGTTTCTGGATACCAGCTCTGGAACAGTTGCCCCTCTTGTTGAAAAATGAAGTAATTGAGATCCGGGTCTGTGGATACAATTAGTGGTTGTCCCACCAAACTGGTTCGGAATATTGGCCCATATCTGAAAAGTAATAGCCAAAAAGTTACATTATAAGAAGAAAAGATGAGGATGCTGATAAATATTATTGTAACTTTCTTTCCATGTCTGAGTTCTATACTCTTTTAACATGTTTGTTTGGTTGCCTGTACTTCATAATATTACCTTTCCATCCTCTTTTTAATGAAGGGAGAAATGTCGAAGGAAGTGTTTCGTGCAAAGAACTGAAGAGTCTCGCCGAGGAGAGGCAAGCCCATTGAACCTGGAGGGAGTTTTCCATTGCATCTTGGATTCCTCCAACGGTAAACCCAATGTGTAAGGCTTATAATAAGCAGAGCTCCAATGCACAAAGCAATTGGTCCCATCTTGATTTGAGAAAATTTAGAAGGAGGCAAGAGGAGCTTGAGTAGTGAAAATTTTAGGATTCTGCTACTGGCTTTCTTGTAGAAGAAAGTCTGTTGAGATTGAAGATAAGAGAGAGAATAAAATGGATGGTTAAAGAAATATGGATTTAGAAAACTATTCACTTCCTTCGCAAAGGTGCAAACATTTACAAATACAAAATCATTATGTATATATCTCTCTATTACTACAACGCGCACGCCTATATATAGAGTTTTTCACCGTTCTATTAATGTATTCGCATATAAGGCACACCATGCACCCATTATCCATCCATTCACATACCGTATGGGCAGTGTGTAGTATGATAGATATTGTACATAGAATTTTTTTTATAATTTTTTTTTAGAGTATTTTGATAATTTTTGTACTTGTTATGTAATCGACTAGGTATGTTTAATTTTAATAGATATTTTTTTACTTGGCAATGGTTAGTGGGGTTAGAGAGTTAGAGGTTGAAGAGTTTTGAACATAAGCCTAAGACCCCAAACATTACACGGTATTAAAATTTTATACCACATGTGAAACCAAATCCTAGGGTGAACATGTTAATTAATTATTTCCAGTTATTAAACTTAGTTTCAGTTATTTTGCTTTCACGTAAAGATGATGTGCATTTATATGTAAGTATCTAATTAGAAAATTATCTAACAACAAAATTACCGGCCAATATATTCAATGGCCGTGCTAATTTCATGCTGCTGGATGCCTTGGCTTAGTTTCAGTTTATTTGGTTTCACGTAAAGATGATGTGCATTTGTATGCAGTATTTAATTAGAAAATTATCTAACAACAAAATTACCAATATATTCAATTAATAAATAATTTTTATATTAATAATTCTTGTCTAATTAGATTTTCGTTTATTAAAAAATTCATAATAATAAATAGATAAATAGGTTAATTTAAATTTTATTAGATAGATTTTAGAGTTTTATAGAGTCTTTTCATATCAATTAATAAATATTTTTTTTATATAAATAAATAAATAAATATTTAAATACTTAAACTCTTTGCACATTTATGTCCTCTCCTGATAATGACATAATCATAACCGAGCCGGGCCCGGTTATGTTATGATAATTATCCATAAAAAAAGTTAAATTTAGTACTACACTTGATTTTAGCCTAAAGGCCGAGAAATGTATGATTAATATTCCTTTAGGTCTATAATTTTATAAGAGGTTCTCATGTAATCCTTTATAATTCAAAACCGATGTGGGACAAGAAAAACGAATTTTATTAGGTACACTTTGATTTGGAGGGTGCACCAAAACCTCGTAGTAGTGCAACACCAAGGAGATGCTAAGATCACTAAAGTAGCAAACTACTCTAGTTGACCGGATCCAAAAAAATTTAGTACTACACTTGATCTTAGCCAAGAGGCCGAGAAAAGTGTGATTAATATTTCTTTAGGTCTATATATAATTTGAAATATATTTCGTGTTAGAGTTTTAATAAATATTTTATTTGAATTTTATTAGCTAGGTAATAATTTTTAGAGTTTTTATAATTTAAAATATATTGGTAATTTGTACTTTGAATTAAACTCTCTAAATAAATTTTTATGAATTTTATTAGATAATTTGTAATTTGAATTAAACTTTTTAAATAAATTTTAGGTAATTTTTTTTTATATTAAAAAAATTTATTACTATACTTGATCTTATCTAAAAGGCTGAGAAAGGTTAGCCCAAAGGCCGAGAAATGTTAAATTTAGTACTACACTTGATCTTAGTCAAAATGCTGAGAAAGGTTTCGAGAAATGTGTGATTAACATTTCTTTAGGTTTATAGTTTTATAAGATGTTTCCATGTAATCCTTTATAACTCAAAACCGATGTGGGACAAGAAAAATTAATTTTATTAGGTACACTTGGTTTGAAGGGTGCACCAAAACTTGGTAGTAGTGCAACACCAAGGAAATGTTAGGACCACTAAAGGAGTAAGCTACTCTAGTTGACCGGACCAAAAAACATTTAGTACTACACTTGATCTTAGCCAAAAGGTCGAGAAAGGTGTGATTAATATTTCTTTAGGTCTATAGTTTTATAAGAGGCTTCGATGTAATCCTTTATAACTCAAAACCAATGTGGGACAAGAAAAATGAATTTTATTAGGTAATTTGTAATTTAAATTAAATTCTTTAAATTAATTTTTATAAATTTTATTAAGTAATTTGAAATATATTTTGTGTTAGAGTTTTAATAAATATTTTATTTGAATTTTATTAGGTAATAATTTTTATATTTTATTTGAATTTTTTTAGTTAATAATTTTTAGAGTTTCTATAATTTGAAATATATTTTGTGTTATTAATATTTCTTTAGGTCTATAAATTTATATGTAATCCTTTATAACTCAAAACCAATGTAGGACAAGAAAAATGAATTTTATGACGTAATTTGTAATTTGAATTAAACTCTTTAAATTAATTTTTATGAATTTTATTAGGTAATTTGAAATATATTTCGTGTTAAAGTTTTAATAAATATTTTATTTGAATTTTATTAGGTAATAATTTTTAGAGGTTCTATAATTTGAAATATATAAATTGAAATGTATTTCGTGTTAGAGTTTTAATAAATATTTTATTTGAATTTTATTAGGTAATAATTTTTAGAATTTTTATAATTTGAATTATATAATTTGAAATGTATTTCGTGTTAGAGTTTTAATAAATATTTTATTTGAATTTTATTAGGTAATAATTTTTATATTTTATTTGAATTTTATTAGGTAATAATTTTTAGAGTTTTTATAATTTAAAATATATAATTTAAAATATTTTATTTGCCTAATAAAAGTATGTGTTCATCACCAATATACACATTCTTAACTCCCAAAAACCTATATATACACACATCAATCATTAATAGAAACGGATGGAAGCTGTAATCATTTTTGGTATTATATATATATTAGTCAGCCTACTTTATGGTTGAATAGGATTGCTATGTATATATATGCACACGCATCAATGGTGGTCGTTAGCTAACAGTTCTCACACATGAAAGTTTCACTCTCTCAAAGTCTATACCTAATTTGAGGGTGATTTAAAAGGTTAAATTTAGTATTACACTTGATCTAATTTAAAATGTCGAGAAAGGTTATAGAAAAGGGCAAGAAAGGTTAGTTAAAAGGGCGAGAAATGTGTGATTAATATATTTTTAGGTCTATAATTTTATAATAGGCTTCCATGTAATCCTTTATAACTCAAAACCGATGTGAAACAAGAAAAATGAATTTTATTAGGTACACTTTGATTTGAAGGGTGCACCAAAACTTGGTAGTAGTGCAACACCAAGGAAATGTTAGGATCGCTAAAGTAGTAAGCTACTTTAGTTGACCGGATCTAAAAAAATTTAGTACTACACTTGATCTTAACTAAAAGGCCGAGAAAGGTTAGCCAAAAGGCCGATAAATGTGTGATTAATATTTTTTTAGGTCTATAGTTTTATAAGAAGCTTCTAGGTAATCATTTATAACTCAAAACTAACGTGGGACAAGAAAAATAAATTTTATTAAGTAATTTGTAATTTGAATTAAACTCTTTAAATTAATTTTTATAAATTTTATTAGGTAATTTGAAATATATTTCGTGTTAGAGTTTTAATAAATATTTTATTTAAATTTTATTAGGTAATAATTTTTATATTTTATTTGAATTTTATTAGTTAATAATTTTTAGAGTTTCTATAATTTGAAATATATTTCGTATTATTAATATTTCTTTAGGTCTATAGTTTTATATGTAATTCTTTATAACTCAAAACCAATGTGGGACACGAAAAATGAATTTTATTACGTAATTTGTAATTTGAATTAAACTCTTTAAATTAATTTTTATGAATTTTACTAGGTAATTTGAAATATGTTTCGTGTTAGAGTTTTAATAAATATTTTATTTGAATTTTATTAGATAATAATTTTTAGAGTTTCTATAATTTGAAATATATAAATTGAAATGTATTTCGTGTTTGAGTTTTAATAAACATTTTATTTGAATATTATTAGATAATGATTTTTATATTTTATTTGAATTTTATTAGGTAATAATTTTTAGAGTTTCTATAATTTGAATTATATAATTTGAAATGTTTTTCGTGTTAGAATTTTAATAAATATTTTATTTGAATTTTATTAAGTAATAATTTTTAGAGTTTCTATAATTTAAAATGTATAATTTGAAATATTTTATTTACCTAATAAAATTATGTGTTCATCGCCAATATACACATTCTTAACTCGCAAAAACCAATATATATATATATATATATATATATATATATATATATATATATATGACACATTAATCATTAATAGAAACAGCTATAATCATTTTTCATATTATATATATTAGTCAGCCTCTATGAAGCACGGACACGGACACGGACACGGATACAGGATACGGGTACGACACGACATGGATACGGCGACACGACAAATTTCAAAAAAATAGGACACGGACACGGCGAGGATACGCCTATAAAATTATATATATATATAATTATATATTCAAAATATAATTACTAGAATCTTGTACAGATAAATAAAACAACAACAAAGAACAGAATTAATTTCAATAATTTTATCTCTGTTATAAGAAAAATATAGACAAGATAAAACAGAAAATAAATGAAAAATAAAGTTGATCCAAATTCTAAACGAAGATGTGCAGAAGAGATATAGCTATAATGAACTAAATATGTATATGAATAAACATATATACTTTTAGTCTTTCACAAAATTTTGTTCATGTAACTTTTATATATATATATATCTTGTTTATGAAGAGAGATAATTGAAGAAGAGGAGAGACTGAGAGAGGAGTAAGAGAAAATAAATTTTGTCTCACAAAAGTGTCGGACCGTGTGTCCGAGCCTCGGACACGTGTGTCCAATAAAAAATAATATTTGGACACTTTACAGAAGTGTCGGATACGTGTCCGAGCCTCGGACACGGGTGTTGGTGTCCGAAAAGTATCCGACACTGGTACGGAGCTCCTAAGAAAAGTGTCCGTGCTTCATAGGTCAGCCTACTTTATGGTTGAATAGGACATATATCAATGGTGGTTAGTTAACAGTTCTCACACACGGGAGTTTCTCTCTCTCCATAGAGTCTAGACCTAATTTGAGGGTGATTGGCTTGGCTCATTCCTAATGCCCAAACCTAAACCGGTTTAAAACCAAACAGATGAATTCAATTGGGTTTGGCAATAAAACCAATCAATCAACAAATAAATTAAACAGAGAAATACTAAGCAGTGATCATCATCACATGCGTCTTACGGACCAAAAAAATTTAGTACTACACTTAATTAATAATTGTATATAAAGTTTTGCCATTAGCATCATTACGTTCAGTTTCAATAGCAGTAAAAACAAAATGATCTTTTAAGACTTTGACTTCTTTACCATCTACAGTTTTATCTTTTGTAGGCCATATTCAACTATAGCCCAAGTTTTACCACCAGAATTTTGCAAATATGCACTCTTCTTTGATTTCCAAAAATTGTAAGCCCCTGCTTGGATTGATTCTCCCAAAACAGTTTTATGGTTTCATAGTTGCAAAAAACTGAAAACTCCTAAATTGGTCTACTTGGTTCTGTTCTTGAAAAACTGAGATAAATGAGTTGAGGTTTTTAGAGAACAACTTTAGGCTGTTTTTTGAATTTTCTAAAACCTATTCTCAGTTGAGGGAAAACACGGAGAACACTTTGTTCGCTTAAAAAAAATGACGGAACCCTTCTCGTTTATAACCTCAGCCGTACAAGCCCTCCTTACAATTTCTCTTCAAGCATTTTCTCTCAGATTTCTTGGTTACAGTCTCTTTTCAACCCATCTTTCAGTTTCTTGAAGCTCGTCTAATGATGGTCGATCTGCGCTTCTACGATTGTCTCTCTTCGTTCGGGTAAAACTCTCTCACAGATTCATTGATATTCTGTGGTTGTTCACACTTCCGATTCGGGTTGAGGGTTGATGATTTTCTTTGGTTGTGTTGGATTTTCTGTGGTTGTTTACACTTCCGATTTTGTGTGATTTGGTTAAGGGTTGATTATTTGACCTGTTGGATTTGATTGTGTTGGGTTGAGGTTTGATTATTTACTTTGGTTGTTAACACTTTCAATTTGGTTTGATTATCTACAATTTCAACTGTTTCTAATCTTATTTAATTAGGGTTAGATAACAAACGACACTGAAAACCCATTAAGGATTTGAACTCTCCCCAATCTCTCTTGATATTGGTATCTGATTATTCATATTTGAGTTCTCTGTTGAATGTGAATTAGAATATTTTCTTTTTTATTTTTTTATTATTTTTTATTTTTTAAATTAATTTTCATCGTTTATTGGCTTTTGATTTCCAGTCTCTGTTATTTTCTATTTGTTCAATCTTGGACTCAAAGTTCTTTTTTTTTTTTCCCTGTTAATTTGATGAGCAATTTTTATTTGATCTTTCTACATAATTGTTGTGGTCCTCTTGCTATTCTGGAGAATGAAACTTAAACTAGTGTTTTGTTCTATGTTGTCAAAATGACTTTTTTCTGTTTACACCACTTTTTAAATGACAAATTTGGTTAGATCCCTTTTTGTTTAGTATTGAATCTTTTCTCTCTTTGGAAAATTGATTCTAAATATCTAAATTCATTATAGCGGGCATCACTTTTTTTTGGTTGAGTTTATTCTAAGTGCTTCTCTCTCCCTTTGTTTGGCACATTGATGTGTACTAGGAGTGAATATGATAGCTCCCTTTGTTTGGCACATTGATGTGTATTAGGAGTGAATATGATAGCTTGTTCAGACTTTTATTTTTGACAAATAAACCTTATATGTTCTGTTGGTGATTCCTATTATCTACCTTTGACATTTTCAGGACTTAATAAAATACAAATTTGTCATCACCACTTCAAAATTGGTCTTGCCTTGTTTGTATTTAAAAGATTTTGCTTCCGATTAAATTTTTTTCTAGGTATTTTTTGAAATTTTTTACTGGATTGGAATGTGTCAATTATTTTTTTGATTTCTTCCTCCCCATATCCTAAACCATTGAATGGATCAAACTCACAGTACTTTATGGTTATAACTTTAGTTATGAGAATGTAGAAATATTCAATTTGAGTATCCTAACCCATTGATTGGTATGTTAGATTGTTTGGTCATGTACTGTGTTCTTATTGTTTATAGATATGTGTTCTTATTGTTTCATATAAAATTTTGAACTTTGCAGAGGTAACTCGTTACATGATATTATGGTATGTTAGCATTTTTTCTATTTGATCTTATTTAAAAGGAAATATATCCCTCTTTTTGATTGCTTTGATTTGGTACATCTAACTATGCTCTCACATTTAGTCATCTTGATTCAATGAATTTTATTCAGTTCAATTTTTGTAACGACCCAAAAAAAAAAAAAAAAAAATGAAAAAAAATTTGAGCATGACCTCTACAGAAAAAGTCTTACTACGACCTGCTAAAATCCATATAAAATATAATGGCCTCACTTGGCCTCAAAACTAATCTATCCTGTCCCAACGCACAATGCAATAATATACAACAACCCTAAAATCAACGCATAAATATAAAATGTCCCATTCCTCCATCTCATCCAAACAAGGAATCACTTTAATTACATTAAGTTACAGTCCATGATATATATTTATTTACACAAATTCTACCATTACAACATTATACAAGTTATACTTAAATTTTATAAAAGGTACATGATTATGTTTCTATACAAAAGACAACAAAATAAGAGTTATAGTCCAGTCTTAATTTGTGATGGGTTGTCGCCCACCCCTTCTTTCTCCAAACCTAAAAAATGTTAAAATAATGGGGTGAGCATAAACTCAGGAGGAGGTGTCTAAGACATACTTCTTAATGACCCCGTGAATCCACACAAAACATAGGGTAAAAGTAAACGCGATTATGTCAATCGGGGGAAAAATACAACGACGACAACAATATCATCAAAAACTATAAAGCAAGTCATCAAACCATATGTTTACAATGTATGCCAATGTAATGAAATGACATGCCAATGTCGTTTCCCATTTTCCAAATCAATTCCTTTTCACCGTTCCAAACCGTTAATGCGACCCGACTCATAACACCTCTATGGCGTCACGAGGGAAGGATTGGCTAGCTTTCCCGACCACATGGTACCTCCATGGCGTCGTTTGGCCTAGGTAGCTCAACCACACTATAGTCTTTCTCTATTTCTCTTTAGATCACATTAACACCACGGACCACTAGGCGTCTCTTAGGCGTCCGGTTTTCACAAACCTCATTTCAAAATCCTTTCCCAAATCAATTTTTTTTTATTTATTATTTCATTAAACAACTTTTTCCCATTTCATGCCCAATAATAAATGCATGAAATGTCACATGTTATCCAATGTCAACATAAGAATATACCCATTTCATTAACATCATGCAGCATGTTTAAAAATAAATCTTTCCACACCAAGTCGTGTTCTTATTCTCAACAAATATAGTATTACAAGTAAATGGAGCATATAGGTAATTCAACTAAACATTTATATTTCATCATAATTTTATTAGACATGTAACTTAGCACATACAACACATAAAAACACCTCATCATACTTCATTTACATATAATTTCAATAACCATAAATTAATACTCATAATCTAGTAAACAATTTTACAATTTCTATAAAAAAAAACTCACAGAGGGAAAAGAAATTGTAGCTTAGAAGTGAAAACCCCCACCTTAATAGAAGTGAAAACCCCCAAAATCCCCAAATTCAAGCCCTAAATTCAAAATCCCTAGGCTTGGCCAAATGGTGAGTTGCTCCCATCAAAATGATGGCCTCAACGAGCTCTCCAACTTTGCCGAAGGAAGTGCTATCAAATTCCAAATGGTGTGGAAGAAATTAAGCTTTGAAAGCTTAATTGAAAGAAAAAGAAAAAAAAGAAACTAAGAGGGAAGAGAAACTGCCGGGAGTGAGAGAGATAAAATGAGGCCACAAAGTGGCCTCTTGACCTTTTAGAAAAATAAGTGGGAAGTGGGTCCCACAAAAAAAATCTAACCTTTTTAAAAAATTTTTTCCACCACAATATATATCTATATATATAATCATAAACATTACAATTTTCTTAAAGATGAAGATTGAGGATGTTGTTTACCATAAGAGTGTTCATTCATTTTGGATCAAGTGATCTGGTTTGGTTCAGGGGATAAAGTTGAGGATTGAGTTTGTAATTTTCAATTTAGGAATGTTTTATCATCTAGTATCAATGTGTTATGTTCAGTTTAATTGCTGGACTTGCAATTTTATTTTGTTTTATTTTTTATTTTTTTTGCAACTAGGCATGCTTGTGCTTGTAACTATGTTGGATCATTTTGCAACTGGCATCCATTTGTGTCATTTGTCGTGAGGCTATTGATGATGATACAAACCAATTGTTTGGGTTTAGTTATGTCAATTGCTTCATTGGGCCTGACCTTCCTTTTAAATTGTCGGGATTAACAGTATACAGTTAATTAATGTTCTATGCTATTAACGGATGGAAGACAAGATAATTGCTTAATTAAATTACAGCAATTAAATGGGATTTAATGTGTTTATAAAACTTGTTTTAAATGCATGGTGAAGTCTTTTAATTAACAAATTGGACTTGTAGCATAGTGCATGGCTTTGTTTTAAAAGATAAAATAGAATACCAGTGTACAACTTAGTACGTTATTATCGGATAGAAAGAACTAAGTTGCTTAAATTAATTTAGTAATTTATTGGACTATAATATGATTATAGAATTCATTTTAAATGCATGATAGAGTCATTGATATATTAGATTTAATCTATGCCTGCTCTGGATGCTAGTTGTGAATTATTAAACTGTTTCCAGCAATTACATGGTTTAATTCTTGGATTTAAATTGCTGAAACTTTAAACACTTTTCTGCAATGATTTGGATATTGGTTTTAGACTGTAAATTACTAGCTTAATATTTATGTTTTGTAATTTACATGGATATGGAGGATTGTATGCACCGGTATGGGACGGTGACATATTGTGGACGGTTTAGCTCAAAACGCTTAAACCTACCCTAATGGATTAAAGGATGGATTGAAAAATATTGAATCCTAATTATGACTAAGTCAGATCAACTGCGACTAAGTTGAATGGCTTCGTGGATTAATGGATGGTAGCTAAGTCATATCAACTGAATAAGTTGAGAGACTAACTAGTTTGTTTATTGTATGCCAGTTCAATAAATATTTGAACTACATACCCTGGTTTTGGACGGACTTTATATATATGTTTATGGTACCACGAAATGAGCTTGAGTCTCAGACTCGTTGGTTAGGGTGCGTATATGCAGTGGATGCGTAGCTGGTTATAATAGGTTGAGGTGTACCCTGTTAGGTCTAGGTACTCATGCCCATTTTTGGGTGCGTTTTCGCATGTTGCCTTCTATTCACGTTGAGACCCCTATTATAGACTAGTGAATGTCCCTTAGTGTGGATATATTTATATGTATGGACTAGATAGATATTGTGAGGTGTCTACGGTGTATCTGCGTATCGGGTCACTGTATGGATTACAGTTAGATTAGAACTTGCTTGTGGGCCTGACCCACTCTTCTATTATTCTTTTCAGGTGCAGGACGGTTCCAGCTTTAGAGCTTGATCGTGCTTATCGAGGACAGTCTCTCATTCATCTACGTATGTAGGACTTCTCTCGATGATTCTAGTTTGATGTCTTCAGTTCCAGTTCAGTTGAGATTTTCTTTAGGGGTTCACTATTTGGATTCCCAAGTTGTAACCTTTAAGGTTTTAGAGGATTGAATTAATATTATTTATCGTTGGAGGATTTTATTTATATTTCTTTTGGTTTTCTTTATTTAAATTCTTAATTTTCTATTCTATGTTCGATTTAATTGTTTGATATCCCTCGGGTTTGGGCCTGGGCCTGATCAAACCGTGTCTCGGATCCGAGGGGTATCACAGTTGGTATCAGAGCACTTCAGGTTCAAGTGTCTTTAGGATGTTTCGTATTAAGATTTCCGCGTAGCGTTTTCTTTTGATTAGAGCTTAAGTTTAGGATTCATTGTATTCCTTTACGGTTCGTTTCGAAAGTACTAATGTCAAGTTTATTCTAAAATTTCAGAATGTTTGGCACTAGGAAGAGGATGAGGGCCGCGATGAAAGCAAAGAAGGGCCCAAGTCCAAGGAAAGTTACTCCAATGATTCCCCTACGAAGGCCGACCAAGAAGGTGGAATTGGAGACCAAGGAATTAATTCCATTAGGTTTTGCTTTAGAGTACAAGTCAAGGATGGTTTCTTGTGTGCGGGATTGGCGACCATACTGTGGACCTAACACAACTTCGGTGGTGCTCGAAGCTGAGCCAAGCGGAGAGGAAGACCCCGAAGAAGATCAGGATGGAAGAGATATCGGAGCATCCAAGATGGAGGGCACCAGAGTTCAGGGATGACTGCTCTTTTAAGAGTACTTATAATTACTAGTAGTGGAGGAGGTATTAGTAAGAATGTAGTACGGATTTAGTCACGTACACTCGGATTATGTTAAAGAATATTTTACGATTATTCGCTTAACAGTTTATGGTTTGGAAAAATTCTTAATAAAGTGAACTAGTAAGTTTTGGCTATCTTTACTGTGTTTTGCGATAGCATTTTTGTGGTTTATACATAGATGATTTTATGCAACTATATTAGAATGTGTATGTTGGGCTCATAAATGTCTATCCCAGTGGAGTGATTGATTTTGTTCAAGCAAACAGATATTTGCTTGTGGGATATTATGTTGAGATATGATGGTTACCAAGAGTTTGTGAGAGAACTTATGTAAATCATTATGGTAGGTTTGGTTTGGAATGAGGACGTCCCAGGATAGAATGCTAATCTAAAATGGGACGATAGCGGAGCTTTTCATTTAACCTTACGTGTTTTGCTCTATGGAGTATTCGAAAATAGGGGATTTTCATGGATTGGGTGGTGACACACGTATGCAATAGACCTTAGGATGTTTGTACACTGTTAGGCAATATTGCCATTTTACATGAGAGTGATGGGCCTGTGACACTAGATATTGACAGACTCAGATTTCTAGCCAATCTATTGGTCCTGGACATGCACACTTATGATGTGATACTTGGGATGGATTGGTTATCTCACTACTATGCCCAAGTTAATTGTTTTGATAGGTCTATTGTGTTCACCATACCTGGTCAGGATATGTAAGTTGTAACTATGCCACGTTATAAGGGGGGCGGTAGCACCTATTTATTCCATGTGGAGGAGGAACCGGAGGAGGAGGTTACTGTGTTATTGGATCGCATACCGATTGTGTAGGACTTTCCGGATGTATTTCAGGAGATTCCAGGGTTGCCACCTAATCGCGAGATCGATTATGTTATTGAGTTATGTAATACCCCGTATTTTATTAAAGAGTTTAGTTTATTTAAATTCATTTATGTGAGGATTTCTTTACTTATTATTGTGCATGCTACATTATTATATTAAGTTCATTTAATGGTGCATGTAAATTAATTGTGTATGTTAAAATAGTAAATTTATTCATTTAATTATGCATGTATTATTATTAATAATTTTATTTGTTGGTTATGTTTATATTAATCATTATTAGTTAATTAAAGTATTATATTTGTGTTATAAAGTATTATAATGATATAATGTATTCTTATGTAATAATAATAATAATAATAATAATTATAATAGTTTAATAATAATAATAATAATAATAATTATAAAAGTTTATTAATAATAATATTAGTAATAATAATAATAATAGGTATAATAATAATAATAGTATTAAATCACAATGTCATGATGAAATTAGAGATTAAGATAGGATTTCATTAATGTGTATGGGTAGACTTAAAGCCATATGGTTGGGAATGTGGTTAATTAAATACAAAAATTAGATATTTGTAATATTTATATTATATAATTTGTATATAAATTAGCTAGCCTACCTTAGAAGGAAGGAAAGGGAGTTAAACACAAATTATAAATTCTAGTGAGCCATTGTAAGAGTGTGGAAAGGAAGAGAGAGAAAGAAAGGAGCTTGGACCGGTGTAGGGAATTTACCCGACTACGCGCAACCGGCGGATTTATTTTAAATCCAAAAAGGCAAGTTATTATCTACTTTTCCCCTTTGAATCCATAAATTAATTGTTTAGATTATTTAAATAATTATAGAGCTTAGAGATCATGCTAGGAAATTATTAAATTAAAATTTTTAATTTATTAAAGAAAGGAAATTTTAATTATTAAAGGTGGTCAACAATTATTTTATGGCCTATGTAATCAAAATATAGCTAAAAATAATTATTATGGCCTTTGGGATTTTTTTTGAATTTTCTAGAATTTTCCGGTAAGTTTCTGCAATTTTCGGCGAGCCTCCGGCGAGGTTTCCGGCCACCGGCAGTGAAGAAGATGACCGGAGTGATCCGGTGTGATGCGGCGCATGGTAGGTTAGTGCGCGCGTGCATCCTGGCCATTGGTAGAGTCTGATTGATCCGGTGCATCGCGGTCCATGTTACCGCGGTACACCCGGATCCGTGAGCGTTGGATGGAGGGAAGGTAGGTGGATCAATCCAGTGTAGCGCGCCCACATAGAAACGGTACAACCGACCAACCAGCACACGCCGCGTCATCAGGATGCATTAGAGCGCGCGTGGCAGCGCGTGCGCGCGCGTGGGAGGTTCTAGACGCGCGTGAAGGCGCGCGTAAGCGCGTGCGCGTGTGGGAATAGTGGAGGCGCGTGTGGGAAGCTCTGGGAGGCGCGTGGGGGTGCGTGAGGGACCCCTACAGCTGCTGGAAATTACCAGAATACCCCTAGGGCCTGTTTTGTAAATTCCAGAACCTTAAACGTGGATTTTTAGGTACTGTGTTGGTATTTACGGGTTTAACGGGCCACGAAATTATTATTTTAATACCCGTTAATTATTCTTATGGCCAATTAATCTCTTCTAAGCATCTATTGGCTCGTTTACGGTACGGATATTAATGTGATTTATTTAATGACATTGTTAAATATAAATAGTGTTAATATCTTACTAAATGGAATCAAACATTACTGTTAAATTAAATAATGCCATGTTTTAGTCATATAAATTATCCAATATATATTATGGGATATTTATACTGTTAATCATATATCAACCATGATTATTATGCTGTGTGCATTTCAGGAAATAAATGGACTGTTTAAATTATGTCCCATTTATATTATATGGATGTGTTGCTATATAGAACCATGTGAGCTGGCTAATAAGTTTAGACTCATTTATACCTTATGCATTCGTTGCGATAGACAGATGTGTGGCTGTCGGGGTATGTGGTTTAATAGTATTGGCATGTGTTGCCTAATTAACATACTCAGTATATTTATTAATATTGCTGGCATGTGTTGCCTAACTTATATGCTCAGCATATTCATCAGTACTTTGCGAGGTGTTATCACTGTGTAGTTCGTTATAGTCTGTGTTGTCGGTACCGTGCACCATTTATAATAGCTGATTTCCCGGGTGGGGAAAGGCGACACTTAACCACCTAGTGTGAGTCTAAGTGATCACCGTCTATTCTGGTTGAGGTCATGTTATACATGGGATAGTTCCCTTAGGATGTATACAGATATAGTACTCAAACGATTCATAATGATTAATTTATTTGATTCTCTGATTTGGGTCATAGTAGAGAGGACTTGCTCGTGGGGTTGACCCACCATTGTTGTTATTTCAGGATACGGTCAGTACCCGTTCCAAGGTTGAGGTTAGCAGTGTGGGACCACCATCCGAACTCATCTACTCTTACGATCCAGTTCAGGGTAGAAGTTTTACGTATTACTTCAGTTTCAGTTTTTATTTACTTTTGACGTCGAACTCTCAGGTTTATATTTAGGGATCCTTGACATAGGATTTCCAAGTTGTAATGGAGGACTGTATTTAAATAAAGGATGGATGGATGTTGTATTATTTACTGTTTCTTTCTGGTCTAAATTCTTTTATTTTCATCATTTTGTATTCCATGCTTGTATATTGCCAATTGTTTTTGATATCCCTCGTTTTTCGTGTATAAGCCTGATCAACTTATGTGTGGAAAATGTGGGGGTGTTACAGTTGGTATCAGAGCATTCCAGGTTCGAGTGTCTTAGGGATTTGTGATTACTATACTTCCGCGTTGTGTATTCTGATAATTAGAGCCTAAGTATTAGGGTTCTTTGTATTCTTTTAGTCGGTCCATTATAATGTACTGACGTTAGATTTTTCTGAATTCAAAAGAAGGATGTCTCGGCGTGGGACAAGGAATGCGAACCGTCATCGCAGTATTTCCCCAACTCAAAATGAGAATCAGGAATTTTCCCTTCAAGTTGCTGATATCATTGCACGAGCTGTAGCAGCAGGAGTAGCATCTGCTCTACGAAACCAGCAACCTCCTCCGATAGTACCTGTTCCTGAACCAGTGGCACAGCCAATGTCATGGGACAAAACTCGTCACTCATTTATCAGAGGGAATCCACCAACATTTGCAGGGTCCACAGATGTCCTGTTAGCATATCAGTGGAAACAGGAGAGCGAGCGTCATCTTCGGATGGTAATCTGTACCGAAGTGCAGAAATAGATGCTAGCTACGTTTATGCTGATAGGCAATGCATTGCAGTGGTGGGAGTCTATTGCTACTGTCGAAGAGAGGACCAGATTGACTTATGCTGAATTTCAGACTCGCTTTGACGACAAGTATTTTCCTATGTCAGTAAGATCAGCGATGAAGACTGAATTTCTGGATCTGCAACAGGAGGATATGACTGTGGCTGAGTATGAACAGAAGTTCATTAATTTGTCATTATTTGCACCAGAGGAGGTCAATACGGAAGAAAAGAAGCGAGACCGCTTTGTGAAGGGGTTGATATGGCCGATTAAAGTGGTGATCATAGGTAGTCCTGCATATACTACTTATATCCAGGTGGTTAATGCCGCCTTACAGCACTGCCAGATGAGGAGTGATTACCGGAAGTCCAAGGGAGATAAGCGGGCTAACCGAGACTACCAGACAGTGGAGAAAGGAAGCAGCAGTGGTACCAAGTCCAATGATCGGGGCAGATTTCAAGGACATCAACCTTGGAAGAAAAACAAAGGAAACCCAGATGTGCAGAGGGATGGAGTCCCTAATCAAGGTAGACAAGGTGGGGTACCTCAGACCGGACAGGAACAATGGTCGGGAAATCAACAGAGAAGGCAGGCAGGTCCTTTTACGGGACGTTGTTATCACTGTAGAGAGATTGGGCATCCGGCCAAGATGTGTCCCAAAGCTAAGCAGGGACAGTATGGGCAGCCGAGACCTAATCAGCCGTTACCTCTACCGGCCCCACCGATGCCACGTGGGCAAGTTCAGAATTTTCCGGCACTTCCAGCACCACCATTTCCTCCGGGACAACCTCCACAGCAGTTGCATCATGGCAGAGTTTATAACTTCATGCCACATAATGCGCAGGCTCCTCAGGCTATTGAGGGTATGTTTTCTATACATGGTAGAACTGCTCGTATACTGTTTGACACTGATGCATCACATTCTTTTGTGTCTAGATCTTTTGTTGTCTTATCTGGTATGACGACTCA